TGTGTGTGTGTGTATAGTCTTTAAAAAACAGCCAGAGGGATCATTTTAAATACAAATTAGATTAGATCATTTCCCTATTTTAAACTTTTCTATAGCTTTCCATTTTCATTTCAGTTATAATAAAACCCAAACTTCATGTCAGACCTTTATAGCTCTGCATATTCTGGTCCATGTTGGCTTCCCAACTTTGCCACTAGTCTCTCTCACTAGTCACTAAACCCCAGGACTTCTGATATTCTCTTAGTTACTGTAACAATTCAAATTAGTTTCCATTTAGGAAACTCTGAAATTGCAATTACCTGTAAGGTCACTGTTTTTTTCATGCATCTATCTCTTTCCATTTTAAATATACCCTCTTAGGGCAGCATTTCTTGAATTCTATGTTAAGTAGCTTACCCTGTCCCTACCAATACTTTTCTTTTTATTTTATTTTATTTTATTTTGATATCATTAATATAAAATCACATGAGCGATATTGTGGTTACTAGATTCCCCCCATTATCAAGTCCCCACCACATACCCCATTACAGTCACTGTCCAGCAGCGTAGTAAGACGCTATAGAGTCATTATTTGTCATCTCTGTGCTATAGTGCCTTCCCCGTGCACCCCCCTATGTTATGTGTGCTAATCGTAATGCCCCTTATTCCCCTTCTCCCTCCCTTCCCACCCATCCTCCCCAGTCCCTTTCCCTTTCATAACTGTTAGTCCATTCTTGGGTTCTGTGAGTCTGCTGCTGTTTTGTTCCTGCAGTTTTTGCTTTGTTCTTATACTCCACAGATGAGTGAAATCATTTGCTAGTTGTCTTTCTCTGCCTGGCTTATTTCACTGGGCATAATACCCTCAAGCTCCATCCCTGTTGTTGCAAATGGTAGGATTTGTTTTCTTCTTATGGCTGAATAATACTCCACTGCGTATATGTACCACATCTTCTTTATCCATTCATCTACTGATGGACACTTAGGTTGCTTCCATTTCTTGGCTATTGTAAATAGTGCTGCAATAAACATAGAGATGCATATGTGTTTTTGAAACTGGGATCCTGCATTCTTAAGGTAAATTCCTAGGAGTGGAATTCCTGGGTCAAATGGTATTTCTATTTTTAGTTTTTTGAGAAACCCCTACCAATACTTTTCTAACATGGCAACTAGGATTTCCTTCCTAGTACTTACCACAGTCAGTAATCATTTTATCTATGTTTGTGTATTGTCTGTCTCCTTATTGGAATATAAACTTTATGTGGGTGGAGGTCTTGTCAATCCTCTCACCTTTAGGCAGAAAGACTACCACATAGTAGGTACTTAACAAATTTTTTGGAATTTGTGACTAAATATTAAGACTCAATAATATTATCCATGATGGAAAGAGAAATGTGAGGTGATAAACTTTCTAAAGAAAGCTTTTGTTAGCTCTCCCTGAAAAATCTTGAGATACTTTTTAATTTCTATGTCTTAAATTTTAATGTAAACTTTCCAATATTTTAAACTCAGAATTACCTGTATTTATTTAAGCCATGTCTCATTCCAAAAAGAAGCTTCAAAATAAATAAGTACCTTTTCTAAATAAATATATTAAACAAATATTCTAAATATATTAAAATTTTTCAATTGAGAAAAAGCTAAGGAGATTGCTTCAAAGTAGAAATAATATATGATTGCAATGATTGACTATTCTTAAGAATTGGCTTTATGTATATCCTATGCTGATTACAATTTGCATTATCCTATATAGTTGTTACAGTACACTTATGATATAGTATTATTATCCCTGCTTTTTAAAACAGAGATACTGAGGTATCTAAAAAATAAGTAGCACCCAAGACCACATTGCTAAGGGAGTATGGATGCCACTGAAGGCTTGGGGATGAACCTACTTTGTTGTATTTGCTACTATGCTATGTTGGCTTCTGAACATGGAAGGAAAATTCAATAAAGACCAGGGGTGGCAAATTTTATGTATCCACTTATTCAAAATCCATTCTCATCCTTTTTAGCTTGCCGTTCTGTAAAATAATGGTTATAAAGCTAAGAACTGCAGTCTTCAGAATGCTCAACAACAGCAAGTGAAATTTTGGAGATAGAGTGGAGCAAAGTGAGTCAGCCTTTGGGAAGGGAGATGTGATCTTTGTCATGTATAATGACAGAGGTGTGTTGTTCTGGGGCAGCTATACCAGTGTCTGTCATACAGTTCCTAGTGTCTTCCATGTTAGGTGACAACATAGCAACAGGATATTTTCCTTGAACAGTTTTTATTCCTCTGGTCTTTCTGGGGATTTTCTGAACTAATATTGCTAATTAAGTTATTTAAAATGCATTGGATTTGCACATAAGTACTGTAAATGATTCAGTAATTGTTACTAGAAATATGTTCCTATAAGTAATAGGAACTAAAATATGGAATTGATTTAATGGAAAAAGTAGAGAGATGAAAATTCAGGACTTAGACACTCAACACCAGAAAACTGGTCACATTTTATATATACTGGAAAATATTTGGTCAAATTGTTTGATGAACTGTGTGAAGTAAACTATACGCTGACTGAGGCTGTACTATTAGAAACTGGGGGACTAACCAGAGTGTTTGCTGTGCTGGCTGGACCACCACCATTAGGAAAAATCAAGATTTTTCACCTAGGGAATTAGATGACCCCAAGTGAGAGGTAGAGAGCTTAGAAGCACAGGTGGGAGGAAATGACCCTTTGGTAAGAAAAGCACTCTCTCCTTACAGCCTAACATCTCTATTGCCAGAGAATCTGATCATTTTGAGCATTAGAAGGCTAAAAAATGAAAACATGTTTTTTCGATCCTAAATAGAAGCCATTGCACGGACAGCAAAGCAGCCTTAGCAAGAGGTAAAACTTGTAAGTAGCCAACCAAATGCAGCCAGTATGATGACAATAATGAGATTAAGGGTTTGGCCTTCCCCAGTATATTAAGTTACCCCAAGGCAATGGCTGTTAAGGGAGGGAGAGTGGCAGAAATTAAAGGCCAGTCAATAAAGAGAATGCAAGATTAAAAATCTCAAATAGGTAAGCTCTTCCGCTATCATTACATCTATAAAAGATAGTGACTGGACACGAGTAACATACTAATGCTCTGATAGAACCGCATGGTCACCAAATACTCAGTCTAACTGCAAATTCTTGTGATTGTTATTACTCCACTAAAAAAGATGTGAAACAATTCCCAGGCTCTCCCAATACACAATCACAGGTAATTGCTTTTGAAAAGTGTATATACAAGTGGCTGAAGTATCACATCTCAGAGGGCAGAGCCAGGGACCACAAAAATGAAATTGAAGAGTAAAAGACTGGCTGACCCAGAGCTTGCTCTGCCCCTATTTCAGGAAGTCCAAGTTATTCCTTATCAGCAGGATTTCAAAATTTCTATGGATGTTACTTTTCTCTGTGTTTTTTTTTTTTATTCTTTCTCAACTGGATATGCTCATAACAGTTGATCCATGTCTTCTCCAACATTATGCATGTTTCAGGGACAGATAATTTATCTTTCAGTTAATAAACTGCCAAATAACTAGGAACCACAAGTTGTCCTATTGGTGAGAATAGCCATCATCAAGATCACACATTTTGAATTTTGAGTTGAATGCAGTAACTAGAAGAGAATTTGGGATGTCTCCATTGGAAAAGAGGAGGTTATATTCTGCCATTTGGAAGAAGAGTGTGCATATAATGTCAAGGTATGGACTATAGGAAATGTGTTAAGTGTTCTACCAAATGCACATTCCCTTCCTCCTCATTAAGGGGACTCCTATTTTTTTTTGTGGCTTGGCAATGAACCTACAGGGAAAAAAAGAAAAAAAAAAGCTGTCCCTTACCAAATTTTGAAATGATTTTGGCTCATGAGAAAAGTTTAAGTGTGCTAAGGATTTCTGGAAATCTTACTTTCCTGATGCTGCAGATAATCCCCAAAGGCCACCAAAAATTCCTTCCTTTTCTTTACATGCATGTTCCTTCACATATTAAGAGGTGACATCTACTTCTTTTCATGAATCTAGAATGGTCTTAGTGACTGATTTGACTGATAGGATATAACAGAAGTAATATTCAGGAACTTTTGAAACTAGGTCATAAGAGACCTTTTAGAGGCACAAAGTTCAGTGATAACATGCTATCGACATATACGACATATACAAAATAGAAAATGGTCCTCTTAATTAATATATCAAGCTCAGGAGATTTCCACGCAGAATGTTGAAAGTGCCAGTTGGTTTCTGTTAGATTCATAGGATGAGATACAGATAAAGAACTAGCTAAAAAAGACAATATTCATAATCTTAAGGATATGACTCTACCCCATCAAGACTCAGCTCAAAGTAGAGAAGAGCCTCTCTGAAAAAAAATACTGTGGGGATGGCTTTTGTCTAATGGAGTGAACCCCATTATAACTGGACTTAAAAGTATAGAGGCAGTTCAGAATAAAAAAGAGTCCTTGCGGGCTCCAACCTTCTAAAGGCAGAAAATAGACTGAGAAAGCTACTCAATGGAACAAGCCAGTTCTAAATGAAAAGAAGGGAAGTCTCAGGGTGTGGAGTCATAAACCTAGACAGCACGCCCAAGTGGCACAGAGGCCTATTCTTAGGGTGTAGAACTCAGCCCCAGTCAAGGAACTGGGCATATGTGCTTGCTAGACATTAGATTCCCTTATAGATGAGTGACTGCTATGTGCCTCCTGTCAGACCCCAGTGCTTTTTAAAATTGGAGTGTTTTTTTTCTTGCGTGTGTGTATGTGAATTTCAGACCTTATATCACCACTTTAATATTGAAAGTGTTGAGCAGATGACTTACTGAATTTATTGAGCAAGATAACATGTTTCTTTAGTTCAAAGAAATCATACTTGAGAAACTGCATCTGAGAAACTGGACTCTCATCTTCTGTTGAACCTGGTTTAAATGAAGAATCCTAAACTTTACACACAATTTTATTTATAATAAAACTTGGGGGACATTAGAGAGGGCTGGTCTATTTTGCAGGTGGAAGGGATATGAATATTGGTATCCAGAGAGCAGATTGTGGTGATCTCCAAAACTGGCCATTATGGGTCCCTTGTCTTTGGATCCCCTGAGAAGCCCACACACACTGCTTCTCAGGACAAGGTAGGCTCTGATTTCTTTCCCTTGAGTCTGATTGCTTTAGTTATTTCTTGACCAAGAGAATGTAAGAGAAGCAGTATTTTCAAATATCTAGACTAAGTCATAAAAAGCTTTCCAGTTTCATTTTTAACACTCATTCTTGGGGTGCTCTCTCTCAGAACCCAGCTTCCATACTGTGAGAAGCCAAAGCCATGTGTAGGCACTTCAGTTGAGCCCTGAGCCAATAGCCAGCATCAACTCAGCCACTTGGTGAGTCAACTTGGCCTTCAGCCCAGCTAAGCCTCTGCATGCCTCCGGCCCCAGCCACAGTCTGACTGCGGTCACGTGACATCCCAAGTGAGGACAGCCACTGAGCCTGTCAGGACGCAGAACCATCTGTGATGATATGATCTGTTTTAAGCTAATAGGTTTTGAGGAGGTTTGACATGAAATAATAGATGGCAGGAACACCTGTTATCAGAACCAACCATTTTCCTCTGGTCCTTCCTTCCTTTTGCAAACAAAGGCATGATGTCTGCAGCTGGAAAAACCATCTTGAGAACATGAAGGAAATACCAAGACATTTTTAGAGACCCTGAGCCTGAATTCCTTGAGCTATAAAAGAAGCACCAGCAACCACAAACTTCCTGAGTTCAAGATATTAGAAAAAAGTCTTTTATTTGGGTTTTGGATCACATGCAGCCATGTTAACAAACTGATACTCCAGGGATGAGGTGAATATATAAAATGATACCATAAAGTGTTGTACTTTGCTAAACAGGGGCTACTGGTTCAGCTTTGAGTTTTGTGGACAAAGAAAAAGAATCAGTAATCCAATTGCAAAATTACTGGAGTACATAAAATAAAAATCAATCTAGCTGTTCAATGGGAACACAGCAATTTGAAGTATTTCTCATAGGTTCTTGTAAAAAAGATTGGTGTGATGTAGTATACAACTTATTCTCTGTCAATCAGTTAAATAAAACCTTGTCCTTCACAATTTTATACCTCTTCAGCAAAGGTATAATGCCAGAAAGTCCAAAACAATTCTACAAAATGAAAAACAATGAAGTCCAGTTTTATAGCTGCTGGGAGCCTGAATTAAACCAAGAATAAGATTCAGAATATAGAGGAATTGGTGGCCAGTGATTTCTACTACCGATATTTATAAAAACTTCTTGTCAGTAAGCTTTTGATAAATCAATTTGATAAAATCCAGCTGTGTAAATACTGCATATAATTAAAAATAGACTCAAATGCTGATATGGAGATAGAGTCAGCATTCTCTTATAGAAACTGAAGAGCTTAATTAGTATATGGGTCTGGGTGGAAGACTCTTAATTCAGTTTGGAGATTGACTGAGATGGTAGCCAGTAAAAGAGAAAGGATTTTCTCATAAAACATTTATTTCACAGCAAAAATGGCAAATGGAGATATGAATGGTGTAACCCATTGAGTATATACCCAATAATTTTAACTTGGAAAAAAATTAAAATGGGTACTGTCAAATGCCCTTTTTGACTGTATTACATATGTATTAAGGACTGTATTTTATATATATATATATATATATATATATATATTAACATCTAGTTTGTATGAGGATGTTCATTAGTTTGAGGGAGCTATGGGACCTCCATGTGGGGGTAGGAAGTATATATGGGGGTTTGAATATATAGGTTGTATCAGAGAAAATTTAAGAAAATACACATTTGTGAGTAGTAATCTGCTGAACAACATGGCTTTAACATTGCGTTCCCCTCATCTGGACTAAACTGACAGGTGACAGGCTTCATCCTTACTCAAGATGCCTTACCCACCTTCCTTCCAGTACTTGCTTTAGAAAATTCACAACTGTCAATTCTCTCTACCCTTTGAAATGTAAATCTTTTTTACAACCTCTTGACAGT